AGTAGAGGCACTGACCCCCAAGGCCAAGCCATCTTCGTATGCGAAGAGATGGTGGACGGCCGACCTCACACAGCTCCGGCAGATCCACACTCACTGGAGGAACCGGGCGAGGGCGGAGAGAAGGGCAGGTAACACCCAACCCGAGCTGGAAAAACGCGCCCGCTCGGCCGCCAAGCAATATCACGACGCCATCCGACAACAGAAGAAGAGCCATTGGGAGGACTTTCTGGCCGGCGACACAAACATCTGGAAGGCCGCGAAATACCTCAATGTCAGCAGAGGGGCTTCCTTCGACAAGATTCCCCATTTAAAAAGGGCCGATGGTTCCCAAACGGAAGACGCCGCAGAGCAGGCCGAAGAGCTGCTCTCTACATTCTTCCCTCCTCTTCCCAACACGATTGAGGAGGAGGGGGAGCGGCCACAGAGGTCGCCGGTACCCTTCCCTAACCTTACGCTGGGAGAAGTAGAGAGACAGCTCTTTGCGGCAAAGCCGTGGAAAGCACCCGGAGAAGACGGTCTGCCAGTGGCAGTGTGGAAGCACACATGGCCAGTGGTGAAGGAGAGGGTACTAGCACTCTTCCAGACCTCACTGGATGAAGGGATGTTGCCGAGGCAATGGCGACACGCCAAGATCATCCCGCTGAAGAAGCCAAACAAAAGCGACTACGGCGTGGCAAAGGCCTGGCGACCGATCTCGCTTCTGTCGACGCTCGGAAAAGTGCTAGAGTCGGTCGTGGCAGAACGTATCTCGCACGCGGTCGAGACGTTTGGCCTCCTCCCTACGAGCCACTTTGGCGCTCGCAAGCAGAGGTCGGCGGAGCAAGCGCTGGTACTGCTGCAGGAGTACATCTACAGAGCGTGGAGAAAGAGAAAGGTGGCCACTCTGGTCAGCTTTGATGTCAAGGGAGCATACAATGGTGTGTACAAGGAGAGACTACTTCAACGACTCAGGGCACGGGGTATCCCTGAAAAGCTGGTGAGATGGGTTGATGCCTTCTGCTCCCACAGAACGGCAAGCATCCTAGTCAACGGTCACGAGTCCGGGGCTCGCCCATTACCACAAGCAGGGCTGCCTCAGGGCTCACCGCTGTCACCCGTACTCTTCCTTTTCTTCAACGCCGACCTCGTACAGCACCAAATCGACGAGAACGGGGGCGCGCTGGCCTTCGTCGACGACTACACGGCGTGGGTCACCGGCCGATCGCGCGAAGCAAACCGGGAAGGCATCCAGAACATCATTGACAGAGCACTTGAGTGGGAACGACGAAGCGGGGCGACCTTCGAGACGGACAAGACGGCCATCATCCACTTCACGCGCAACTGGAGGCTGCCGGCAGACTCGACCAGCTTCGTCATCAAAGGGGACACTGTCCGACCAAAGGACCACGTCAAAGTACTAGGGGTGACGATGGACACGAAACTTCGCTTCGAGAAGCACATCGCAGACGCGACGACAAAAGGGCTGGAGGCCGTGCTGGGGCTCAGGCGGCTCAAAGGTCTGTCTCCGGCGACGGCCAGACAGCTTTTCGTCGCGGCCGTGGCACCAACGATGGACTACGCGTCGAATGTCTGGAGATATAGATGCCGAGCAGCGCAGATGAGGGTGATCAACCGAGTGCAGAGGATTGGCGCCCAAGCGATCGTGGGAACCTTCAACACAGTGGCCACGGCGGTTGCCGAAGCGGAGGCAAGCATACAATCGGCACAAGAGAGATACGACAGAAAATCAACGACATTCTGGGTACGGATGCGAAGCCTTCCCAAGACGCATCCGCTTCGACGCCTGCGGGCGGTGGCCTTTAGACGATTCCCATCACCCTTCCAGCTGATGGCGGAGGCCTATCGCGACCAACCTCTTCACAAGCTGGGGACTATCGAAGGGTATTCGATCACTCCATGGGAAGCCCGGATTGACGCAGTAGTCGACGACGACGCGGTCAAGGCCACCGAAGCAATCCAGTCCGGGTGGGCAGTGAGGATAGCGACGGGGAGCTCGGCAAGAAACGGGATTGTGGGCTATGGAACGACCACAGCGCTGCCTGCGTCACTCAGAGGGGGTGGCGGCGTGATAACGGCCTCGCGCACACTCGGCCTGAGAACAGAGCTGAACCCGTATGTAGCAGAGCTGGCGGCGCTGGCAGAAGCGGTAAAGTCTCTCCCGCAGAGGCTCGACTACCGGGCTATCCACGTGTTCACCCGCAACAAAGCGGCTGTGCTAGCCATCCGTAACCCGCGGCAGCAGTCGGGCCAACGAGAGATCCGCCAACTATATGTCAGCGTACAAGATCTTCAGAGGAAAGGCAACAGAGTCACACTCTTCTGGCTTCCATCAGCTGTAGAATCAGACTTGTCGAAAGCGGCTAAAGCAGCAGCAAAGGAAAGCACAATACCGAGCAAGACACCGCAGAAACGACCGGCCAGAGCCTACTCGACGGCACTTAGAATCGCTTTACAGAGCGTGCGACAGAAGTACAGAGCTTTGCCCGACAACGTAGGAGCATTTTCGAAGAAGATCGATGTGGCTTTACCAGGAAGGCATACGCGCGAGCTGTATGATGAGCTCTCTTGGAAAGAAGCCAGTATCCTGGCGCAACTGCGTACCGGGATGGCAAGACTGAACTGGTACCTGCACCAGATCGGAGCAACTGCCTCGGCGCATTGCGTCTGCGGGCAGGCGGCAGAATCGGTAGAGCATTTTCTCTTCCGTTGCACACAGTGGACGGCACAACGAACTCGGATGCTTCAACAGACGGAAACGCAGAGAGGGAACCTGTCGTACTTTCTCGGAGGAAAGAGCGCGTCCGATCCTGATGATTGGTCGCCATGCATAGACATTGTCAAAGAGACGATCAAGTTTGCCATGAGTACGGAGAGGCTGGATGCACAGATCAGCCATCAGCGAAACCACACACAACCTACATCAACACACTAACCGACGACACCCCCCACGCACCCTCGTGCCACCAACAGCAGGACTGGCTTCGGCCGCCGACGATAGGACGCCGAACACTTTGGGAGACAACCTCAAGATGGCCTCTTACTAACACCACGAGCAACCGCAGCATTGGCATGTAAAACTGAAGATGACACATACGGAGATGGACAAGGCTTGTATGGGCTTCTGGGAGGCAAGGATATGAACGAAAGCGGAGAATATGTAGATAATCACACGAGCCCTGAATAGCTTAGCCGGGGCGTAATAAACTATGTATGTATGTATGTACATAGAGACCAACTTTACCTTCCATGATTCAGGTTTGCTTTTGGCTATTCAGTTTGGATTTCGTTCGTCACGTCAATTAATACTACTGTGCAGTACCTATTGGTTTTCTCATTCAACATCCACAGGCGAAATTGGATGGTCCAGGTACGTTTCTACGACGAAACGTTGCCATCAAAACGCTTGGCAGATGTTGCAATCACGACAAACAAGGG